CAACTTTCTTCCACCATGCGGGATCAGTGCTGTGCTGCTGTGAGACAAGGATCACTGATCCGGATTAGTCTGGGGAAATTTAGAAGTCTAGCGGTTGAGTGCCACTGCTCAGTCCGATCAGCGATCCGATTAGTTATCGTAAACACCCGGTATTACGTGATCGACGAATCACCGTTTGACATCATTCTCGGGATGGATTTCCATTTGAAGTACGGGCTTACAATAACTTGCGACCCGTTCACCGAGGTCAGCTTCGCGAGAACATTCGAGACCTGGGAAATGAGGAAGGAGCACGCGGCAATCTACGGACTGATTGAATTTGATCGTCGGATGATACTCAGTGCGGAACAAGAAGCGAACGGTAGAAGACCGTTGCACGGTAGAGCACAAAGTTTTCTCGCCGCCACGCAAATCACGAGCTGGGTAGCGAGAAGTATACAAGAATTAACCGAGAACGCCAGACAGAACAACAAAAAACAGGTGCGACGGGCATTTTTCGCGAATGACGGGGAGCGAGATAGCCCCAATGACGGGGAGCGCGATGCCGCGAATGACGGGGAGCCGCGGGAACACGGCAACCCAGGAATAAACGCGATTTATAGATGCCCGGGAGACAGCCAATATGAGGAAGCGAGTTCACTCACGCACAACGAAAGTACTCCGATACCGTATGTACCGGTGGGGGAGATCCCCGAACGAGGAATCAATGCACGAGACAATGAACACCACCGCAAATATGGAGACGTCGGTGGAGATCGTGTACGAGAGATCACCGGTGCTGAGACCAAGACCGGGACGGAAGCGAAGAAGGTGGAGCGTACGACGAAAACGAAGACGACCGTGCGAGTCGAAACGCAAAGCCCGCGAAGAATTGACGCGAGCGCGTAGCAAGTGGCAGATCGCACGTTTCGTGAAGTGTAGGCGACGTGCGCGACGCACGATATCGAGCGGAAGTTCGGCCGAGGAACGTGGCGCAAAACGCGAATCCCCGGTGTTGAACAAAAGAGTGCGTGATCGAAAGTTAACCAAGCATTCGCGCGCGAAAAGTTCGGGCGAAACAGTGCGCGACGAGGTGACGCGACGGAAGGAACCCCTTCAACTGCGAGTGGTTCTAGATCGTACGAGAAGTTCTAGATCAGCTTCCCGAGTGAATCGACGATTAAAGGAGAGACGAGACGGCGGAGACGACGAGTGGTGTGAGAGAGAGTCACGCGGACAGTACGAGCGAGACGATCCAGAGTGTCGGCGTCCGAGACAATCCGATTGTGTGACATAGCGAACTGTTCGACACCGAAGAGTGCCAGTGCCGAAATGACGGACGAACGCGATGCTGAACAGCAGGTGCCGTTGGAAGATATTCCGATTGAGGAATTAACGGCGGAGCAGCAGCACATGCGGATCCGACAGGCAGCCAGGGCCGTAAGTGCGCACCGGCGATATCTTATGCATCGTCGCGAACGCGGTGCTGGAGGGGGCCGAGCGCTACGTCGGGACAATTCCGGCGGACCAAATGTACTCCCATAAGGAAGTGCAGGAGCAGCGCGGTATCCTGCGTGATCTTATGCAGAAGATCACCGAGTGCGGTGGGATAAGAGGCGACATGGTGCAGCTGACGCCAAATATCCGGGTGCGCAGCGATGACCCGGACGACGATGACGTCGCCAATATGAGTGTCATGACAACCGCGCGATGGCCATACCGAGCACAACGGCAGTCGTCGGCCATTTAGGGTGACGATGGATTACCGCGACGGCTGAGCCCAAGTGCAGACATCATTGCTCGAGGGCGAGGCGGAGCGTGAGCCAGATGCGACCTGGCAGATCGAGGAGCGGGACGGCTTGATGGTGGTACGAGATAAACAGCCCAAGAAGAGCGGGACCGCCACGCCGGTGATCCAACTAGAGGCGGCGGAGGAGCCTCGAGAGGAGGCCGAGCGAACGACGAGGAGCTCACCGGACCACCAAATACCGTCCACAAGTGGCACGCAACACTTGGTCGCCGGACGAGGAGCAGATGCGGTTGACGCGACCCCGAGGATGGTGAGTGTCGGGGTCAATTTTCTGACGCGAGGGGAGACATTCTCCGACGACGAGTCGAGCGACTCGCAACACGAGACGGAGGAGAAAAGGGCCCGGCTGAAGGGGAGAGGCAAGGACCTGGAAAAATGGCGCGCGGCCGTGGGTATCAGGCAGCGTAAAGCCGCTAAGAAAGTGGAGGAGAAGGTGCGGCAGATCGTCCAGGAGCCTCCAAAGGACAAGCGCCGTGGTCAACGGCAAGAGCAGCGCGTCCGCGAAAGGAGGCGCAAGGCAAGGGAGCAGCGAGCCCTCAAAAAAACCCAGCGAACGGCTTCGAGGATGAAGATGACGGACTCCAGGTGCGACACAGCCGCAAGCCCGAAGTCGACGGGGAAATTGAAGCCGTCCGCTAAGACGGTGCGTGCGCAGCTTCTCGCACAGCTCCGAGTGGTCTTACAAAGACTATCACGGGAGCAGCTACAGCGCACGGAGCGCTCACTGACTCAACCCGTCGAGGCTATCAGCACGTGGGATATAGTCCCGTGCACCTCGCGGAGCGTCACCACGCACCAAGCGGTGCGTACAGCGACGAGCACCGACCAATGGGGCTCGCCGCAAGAAATGGAGGCGATACGGCGAGCAGCCAAGGCATTTGGGTGCGCCTTCCAGGTGCAGCTCACCCGGACCACCGTCATGGAGACGGTCATTGTGACGGCGGTGCCGCAATCCGCGGCACAGGACGAGCTGGACGAGGAGGAATTCCGGAGCGTATCTTCGGTGGAGGACTCCGAGGAAGAGCGTGAAGAAGTCCCGGCCTAAGGCCAGCCCTCCATAGCGTTCCGAGGACGGATCACGACAGGGAGCCCAAGCCCCATGACTTTCTTTTGTTTCCTTTTTTAGCAACGCGCATTGACATTTATTTTGAGTTATTCCGATCCGCACTTAGTTATAAGGTTTGCGCTTAGTTATAAGGTTTGCGACAGCGGTCGCCGAGCAGCGGCTCATTGTATTAAAACATGACATTTATTATCTTCCCGATCCAATTATGATTTATTTTGATTAGAGTAGCATAGATATGAGACTTCTATATCAGGGATCTCAGGGGGGGTGAGGGGCGGGGGGAAGGACTCGCGGCCGCGGGGTCTGCCGGGCGGGGGGGGG